CAGTAAAATTAGTCTGTATATACAGTAAAGCATGCTTGTTATACTCACTGTGGAACTTAAGGGGTTAATCCTCTGCATTGTGTAAAAAAGATGTTTGATCCTGTCTTCTCTGATCCTCTCCTTCTTCAGTGTTTCCCATTACATCTCCTGATAGAACACAACTGGGGGACACTGCACATGCTCAGTTTTGTGTGTACAGCTAGAGAGTTTTTCTTTTTCTTGGGAGGGTTCATGTGATCAGCACAGGGCCAATCAGCACTGTCCAGACAGAGGGTTGGGGGTTATGAAATCACATAGTGAGAGGAGATTGAAAACTCCTCCTACAAGCTTTATTCAGTGCTCAGCTGGACACTGATAGAAGTGACAAGACTGCTCTAACTGCTGATGAGAAAAGGTATTTAGCAGTTTATATTTACTAAAATAATTGAATTTTCATTTTCTGTGTACTGTGGTAGATCAGATATAGTGAATGCAGGGTCCTGGGTTTAGTAACACTTTAAAGCTCTCATTGAGCTCCGGAGGTTGCTATTGCCAAGTCCCCAAAAGGAGAAGCTTTATAGATTCATTCTTAGCAACACTTTCAGGAATTGAGCCATGACAGCTTGCATCACTGGACTGAAAATTTGTCTGTGACCTTGAAATCATCTGCAGGGCTTTGTGAGAACATTATAGTTTAGAGGAAATACAAATTACAGCAACTTTCAAATCTGTGGCCTTACAGAGATGGATTAGGAGAAAAAAGGGCCCTAAGTAAGATAGTAGGATATTGCTCCTTATATCCCTTGACATTAATAAGGATTTCAATAAGCACATAGGCACTGCCCCATTTTCACTATCTGTACTGGCATGGCTGCCCTCATCAGACACCAACTGTCTACAAGTCCATCCCTCAGCTTGGTTTTCTTGTGTAGTGCTACCTCCTCAGGGGCCACTGATATTAGTTCCTTGTTTCCCAAACCATATAGAGGATTGCAGTCACCCAAGCAAAAGTCCATTCACTTTGTCTCCAATAAGCAGTCTAGGCAGGGGTGTATTTACCACAAGGCAAACAAGGCATTTGCCTAGGGCAGATTTTTCAGGGGAGGCAGCACCACCTCCTGGAAGAAGGGACATTTGCAGCATGGGGACAAGGTAGGAGTCAAGAGAAGCTGTGGACTACTTGATGGGGTATATACAGAGCTCGACTCTCGTTCCCAGGGATATCCAGAGATGTGAAAGTGAGTGACTTTCTCTCTGGGGGGTGGGATGTGTGTTAGTGGAAGGCTCTCTCGGGTGGGGGGAAGAGGTGTTGTTGGTCAATGTTAGGCTCTCTCTGCTGGGCAGCACAAAACCTAAATATACCACTGAGTCTAGGGCTTGTCTTTTTGTAATTTATTGCTTGTAGAACTTGTAACAGGAGAGGGGTTGGAGCATGGGATACTCCAAAATTCTCAGTAACATTGATCAGAAGACACTTATCTCCTTGTGGGTTTGGGGACAGTCCAAGGCCTTACAGCTGAAGACCATGAGACAATTTTCTTAGGCATCTGGCTACACTGCATGGCTGCACAGCTATAGGTAAATCAGTGCAGTTTTAGGGTGTACAGTCAAAAGGGGGTCAATTAAGGTCTTTACTCACAAGTCCCAACCACAGCTGCCTCCCTCCAGCTTCCTTTGAACATGGTCCAGTGGGTGAGAATCTCCCTCTCCAGACTCGATCTCCAGACTCGATCTAGAAATCCTGCACTCGGCTCCATATTATTCCCAAACCTTCCCTGACAGGGAAAAGAACAGTCTCTTCTGGGCTCCTATTTTCTACCTCCCAGACCACCTTCTGGGCACACCTCCCCAGGGATTGGTCAGGACATGATAAATATTTGCACCAGTTATTTGAATTTTCCACCAAAATCTCTAGAAACATATTCCAGAGACAGGGCGAAACAATCAAACTCTCAGCCTGTGAAACCCTGAGCAGAACTGAACAAGTGATTACTGCTCCCTTGCTTACAGAAAAAGGCAAAAACTAGATTTACACTGTGCTTTTAGAGCCTTTTCACACTAATGGCTGGAGGAGGGTGGTAAAACAGGTAGTAGAGCTGCGGTTTTACCATCTCTTGGAATTCTAACATTACGGTCAGGCTGTACACATGTTGTGGTCACAATGCTTTACTTCGCGGCCGCTGCATTTTCAACTCTGGCTGCAGAATTTGACAGACAACATGGCTTGTAAAACTCGTCCATTGAGATCAGTGGGACAACACTGCAACTAGGAACCAAATATGTGGGTGACAGTTCAGATTTCCCAGAGCTGGGCTTTAAGCTGGGCCTCTGGAATATCTTAGGCATCTGCTCAGGTTGCCATGTAGATGGATGATCTAACTTTGGGCCCATAACAAGTTTGGTGAAATTACTGATATTTCTGTATTACTCAGTCCTCATGCACACTTGACATTTTTACAGCTGCTGTTTTTTGGCTTTTGATGTTTTTTTCTACAGCTAGTAAACCCCCCAGCATGTTATCCTATGTGTCCATGCACACATAGACTGTAATCAACATTTTTTGGCTGGAAAAAAACCCAGAACTAGTGGGTTTCTAGAGGAGTTTTTTAGCTGTAAAAACGCTCTAACGTTGAAAAATGCAGTAAAACATGGTAAGGCTCCATGCACACTGGCGTTTTAATAACGCTCGTAACGTTAGCTGTGTAAAGTCATGTTAAAAACGTGAGTTTTTCAACATTTTTTAGCGGTTTTGTGTTAGCGTTTAGCGGTGTTTTGCCACATTTTTTTGCGCTTGCGTTTTTTAGAGTTTTTTTTAACCTAGAAAAAATTTTTTTTTTGATCAAAAAAAGTCCAAAAATGCTGGTTTGCCATGATTTTCCATGATTTACCACATTTTGCTGTGTTTTTTATCGTTAGAGCATTTTTTCTCCTTTCACAAGCCCGACTTTGATATTGTGTGACTTACAGTGAAGTCGCATGATTTCAAAGTCAGGGGACCTGTCGATTTCAGGTGCGGTTTGCAAGAAATCGGATACAAATGTCTGTGCAAATCGCACGAAAAGTAGTGCATATACTACTTTTGAAATCGGTGTGGCTCCGACACAGTTGGAATCGCACCGATATGGCCACTCTAATAGTGAACGATAGGGTACGACTTGGCATACGATTTGCAAGTCGCATGATATACATGGCATGTCAAATTGCACCCGATGTGACTGGGGGCTTACAGCTAAAAAACTCCTCTAAAAACCCACTAGTCCTGGGGGTTTTTTCAGCCAAAAAACGCCCCTGCCGAAAAAACGTTGATTACAGTCTATGTGTACATGGACAAATAGAATAACATGCTGGGGGGTTTACTGGCTTTAGAAAAAAAGTCAAAAGCCAAAAACAGCCGCTGTAAAAATGTCCAGTGTGCATGAGGACGAAAAAAAATTTTTATAGTAATAATAGCGAGCGCTCTAGAAAAATAGCAGCTAGAACACTAAAAGGAAATCACAGTAACCTTAAAGTAACAATCGGTAAATGAAGTGCAGCACTAACAAAGGATAAATAGATGAATAAATAAATAATAAATGAAACAAAGTTCGTTCAGAATAATTAGTTCACTCGATGGCCTCTAGTGAATGACACCACTGGAAATATCCACAACAGCACGTATGTCTAAAAGCTTGTGACAGGAAACAAATGGCAGAAGCGTGTACTCACCGAACTGCGCATAGGAAATGATCCAGAGGTCTCCTTTAGGGATGTGTGAAAACAGCTTTGATGCAGGGCTCCCTCCTCTGGATACTGAATGTACTGTAGGTATAATAGCTCCTCCATTAGGAGCCAAAAAAAGGGGGGGTGCCAATAGTGTAGTAACTTCAGGTATTTATTGAGCAAACATGGTAAAAACACAGGGTGCAGGTACAGATACAAAGTGCCAAAATAATAGAGCAGAGTACTGCATGCGTGCATGCGCAGTCCCAAATTCTTCATGAAAATGGTGGCGGCGTAATGCGCATGCGCCATTTTGCTATATAAGCACCAGACGTCAGTCACACGGCTGTTAGCCTCCCCTCTGACGATGTGCCTTAGCACAAAAAGGCCTCAGGAGGAGCTAACAGCGTGTGACGTCATCGTCGCCGGGACCACAAGAAGTAGGCCCGGCGGCCATCTTGCTTAAGGGTCAGTGCTGCAGTACTTTGCTCTATTATTTTGGCACTTTGTATCTGTACCTGCACCCTGTGTTTTTACCATGTTTGCTCAATAAATACCTGAAGTTACTACACTATTGGCACCCCCCCTTTTTTTGGCTCCTATTGGAGGAGCTATTATACCCACAGTACATCCAGTATCCAGAGGAGGGAGCCCTGCATCAAAGCTGTATTCACACATCCCTAAAGGAGACCTCTGGATCCAGCAGAGTGATACTTCATCCAAGCTTGATGACCATTCTTCTGAGGGAAGCCCACCATACACCTACTGTTTACACTCCATTTGGCGGTTACATTTATGCGCATTTCCTATGCGCAGTTGGTGAGTGCGCACTTCTGCCATTTTTTTCCTGTCACAAGCTTTTAGACATACGTGCTGTTGTGGATATTTCCAGTGGTGTCATTCACTAGAGGCCATCGAGTGAACGAATTATTCTGAATGAACTTTCTTTCATTTATTATTTTTTATTCAGCTAGTTATCCTTTGTAGCGCTGCACTTCATTTACCTAAAATAAATTTTTGTTTGGTTAAACAAACTCTAAAAAAAGCTAAAAACCGCAAACGCGAAAAAACGTGGATAAACGTCGCTAAACACTAATACAAAAACACTAAAAAAACACTGAAAAACTCACATTTTTAACGTGACTTTACACAGCTAATTTTACCAGCGTTATTAAAACAACCCGTGTGCATGGAGCCTCATAATGTTAATCCAGGGGCGGACTGACCATTTGGAAACTCGGGCACTGCCCGAGGGCCCGGAGTCAGTAGGGGGCCCCATGAGATGTCCCTGGTACCTTTTTCATAGGCTTTTTTGGGTGTGGTTTGAGTGTGGGTGAGGACACGGGCCCCATGATCCCCTATTGCCTGGGGGGCCCCGTGAGTTGTCAGTCCGCCCCTGTGTTAATCTCATTTACAGTAGCTGAGCGTTAAACAAAATGTTTATGCTACTTTGCTTTTATTGATTTTGACAAGGTAAACCCTAATTCCACAGAGGATCCAGCAGATCAGCACATTCGCAGAACATTTGCCCCCTGTTTGCTGTTCATTCACTGCAAAATGGACAGGGCATTTATCTGCAAAACACTCACTGGGTTATAAATGCAGTGTATGTCAAACTGCCATTGGTAGCATCTTCCGGCCCAGGGAAGCAAATATTCCCAGTTTTCCCCAATTTTATAGGTAGATCACTTGACCCTTATTTAACTTTTACAAGTATAATATTAAATGTTGATGTTGGGCAGACATTGTAATTAGTTTGATTTTTTTTTTTTATGTGTAATAATTGGTTAAGCATTTTTATTTTTTAATATCTTCACTCTAAAGCAAATAGTTAGATAATAATCTTAATCTGTCACTTAAATTGTATTTTACTGCATCTTGGCTGCTTGTCATATGGCATTCTAGATCCCTTACTGTCAAGTGGCAAACTGGTCAGATCAGTTTCAAGTTGTCTGCTGAGCTGATTTATAACAAAAAAATAGAAAATGTAGAAAACAACCCTGAGCAGTCTCAGTTTATTGATGGAAAATACAGATTTGTTTTACCAGTTGACTCTAGTGGAAAACTATGTGGGGGGGGGGGGGGGTAAGGAGGATTTGACAAAATAAGGACTCTTTTCATAGGCAGTAAAGCTTTCCACAATCTGAAAAGCAATCTGCGGTGGTCTGCCTTTCAGAGGGAAGCAAAGTAGGGGCTAGCAGGTGTTCAGGAGGTGCTACTGCTGCTTCTTGACTCCTTTTGTTTTGTTTACTTTTTTTTTTAAATGGCCTAATGGCAATTTCACAATGGAGTACCATTGGCTCACAGTTGTGGTTTGGCCCCATTTATCTCAATAGGTAAATTGCCGCCTGTCAAACCTGCAGCTCAAGTTAAAATTGCTGTGGTCGTGGCATGTAAACAACTGTCAGGCTGTAATATTAGAATTCTTGTAGGTGGCTGGGGAAGGGGGGGTGGGTGAGGCGGTAAAACCACATCTCAGCCATCTGTGTGAAAGAGCCAGAATTTTGGCCCAAAATATACTCATTTCAAACAGCTGGTTCAGAGGCAATTTCTGCCAGTTTTCCATTTTTTTTCCCTTGAACCTGATTACATTTTTTAATGAGAACAGGATAGTATAGAATTGACATCTTTTTAGTCAGATACAAAAAAGCAGTATAAGGCCCCTTTCAGACAGGGCGGATCCGCCTGCTCAGAAGGGGATCTCTCCACCAATCCCTGCTGAACAGGCGGATGACAGGTCTCTGTCCGCTCTGCTGCTGCTGTCACTACCCACTGATTTCAATTGGACAGTTGGATGGAAATGAAGTGCCTGTCCGTTTCTATCCTATTGTCATCTGATCCGATGCACTGGACGGATGGGGAACGGATCCCCATCCGTCTTTTTTTAGGTGTACAGAGTTAGATCGGATGCCAGCAGGTGTCAGCGGACTATTGTCTGCTGACACCTGCTGGTCCATAGAAGTCTATGGATGGACCGATCAGGTCTGCCTGGAAAAGGGAACAGGTGGATCTCATATGTTTTTTGAAAACCCAATTGCTACTCCTTTAGCCATTTTAATTGGAGAATCAGCATAATACCACCTTGGATAATGCTTTGAATATAACTTGACGTTTGTATCTTGAGTTATGTGTCTCTTGAAGAAAAACTTCATCTATGGAATGTTGGTGGATTTCCCTCATTATCTTGTGTCTTTTTGTTGGAGATTTTAACCCTTTCACGTTATATGTCATACATTTAATTAGGCTCATTTCTACTGTTAGTTCACTACACTACCCAATTTCCCATCAAAGGAAGACAGATATAGACATTTTAAGATATAGACGTTCTACCCTTTTTCTCTCCCTTCCCCTCCTAAAACATCACCCCATTTTCCTCCCCACCCCCCTGTTCACCCACCCACAACCCTACTTTCAACCCTCCCTTCCCTCTACCTATCTTACCCCTAAGACCCTTATGGCCTACATATTGCCCTGGAATCTGTCGTGGATTATTCCCACTAGCGATTCCTAATGTGGGGTGAGACTCAAAACATGCACGCCCACTCCAATCCCTGGTTTGAATCATCAGTCAGATTGGAGTCTGACAGCATATTTGACCTCCTGGCCACCCACCAGCTCCACGCTCCTCTAGCCCCTCCATCCCTCCCCCCATCATCTCGACCAGGTAGGAAGGGACCGAGGGCAAAGGAGCCATGGTGTGGCCGTTGGAGGACTGGGGGGCAGGGGGGAGAGAGAAAAAAAAAAAAAAAAAAAACACCGCGTCCTCTCTCCGAGCTTTCCCCCCCCAAACCACACCTCCCTACTTCTTCTTGGATACCCACTGCCATTCTCCTTACCCCTGCCCACCACTCTCTTTAGGTCCTTCTGACCACCTTCAAGGTCCATTTTCTGTAAATCTAATTTCTCACAAAAGTCACTGAGATCTTCTGAGAACCTCAGCCTTGCCAATTTCCATCTTTCCATCCAATCAGGCATGCTGGAAATCCCCAGTTATATCGAACTTTTTTCTCTCTCATTTGCTCCAGCAGCGGTTTCAGAGATCTTCTTTTAGCCAGTGTCTCTGGAGCAATGTCAGCAAAAATATGCAACTTTGTTTCCTCATATTTTATTTCAGTAATGTCATGCAAACTTTTCCATATTCTTTCTCTTAATAATGAAATCGAACTATCACATCTCTGGGGCTTTCCGCCGGAAATCCTTTTGGCCATCTAATCCTATGTACTCCCTCAATTTGCAGATTTTCTGTCGCTGGTCTTCCAATTATTGGTTTACATACTCTCTTTATTTTCTCTCCTTAGATACTCTTCCTGTTCTTCTGGTAGACCACAAATCCTTAGGTTCTTTCTTCTATAACGGTTCTCCTGGTCTTCAAATTTAAATAGAAGCTTTCTCTGCTGTCTACGCATGTCCTCCACCTGCGTTTCTAATCTATTGATTGGTTGAACGTGTGCTTCCATTCTTCCCTCTACTTCTTCTACTTGCGTTAGAATTCGACCCAAGCCATTGCGTAGTACCCCCATCTAATTTTTCAAGAACATCTCCAGTTTTGCGAAACATTTCCACATATCCGTTTTTGTAGGTATTTGTGACATGGCTTCTTGTTGTTCCGTGACACTTTGTTCCATGACACTGTCCAAACTTATCGATTCGATAGTCTGGTTCCTTCCCGGGAAACAGATGACAATCTAGATTGATCTCCGTCAGATTTTCTAACTTCTTCTTGTTTTTCCTGTGTTCAATTCTCTGGACTTATCTCCTGAGGAGCATGCATTTTTTAAATTGTTATAGCTTTCGCACTCAGTTGGGTGGGTTTTAGCTGATTTGCCCTTCATTCCTGATTCAACTCTCCTGTTATATTTCTATTATCTCAGGTTTCTAGTAACTGTCACATAGGTAATCACCTGAGCCTCCACGCACTGGGTTTACTGTAGTACTGTAATAATATCATCCCCAGGAAAGGGCCCTTTTTCTTTTACTTCTAGTGATTTTTGCCACCTTGGTTGATTACTTTAGGGGCCAAAATAGGTTCAACAGTTCCACCAACCTAAGAGAACCCCCCGCAGTAAAGTCCTCTGTCTCCCCCAGTGTTCCTGTATGTTTGACTTTGATTTGTTACATATGCATCAGATACAACAGAAGTTTAACCACTTGCCCTCCTGAGGTTTTACCCCCCTTCCTGTCCAGGCCATTTTTTGCATTACAGTACTGCGTTACTGTAACTGATGATTCCTGCGGTCATGCAAAGCTGCACCCAAATTAAATTTACGTCCTTTTTTTCCCACGAATTGAGCTTTTTTTGGGGGGTATTTGATCACCTGTGCGTTTTTTTTTTTTTTCGCTATAAAAAAAAAAGACCTACAATTTTGAGAAAAAAAACAATATTTTTGACTTTTTGCTATTAAACATGTCTAGTAAAAAAATTTCGTGCATAAATTTAGGCCAAAATGTATTCTGCTACATGCATTTGCAAAAAAAATTCCAATACATGTAAATTAATTGGTTTACGTGAAAGTTATAGCGTTTACAACTGGCAGCATAGATACTGGAATTTTTTTTTTTTACTAGTAATGGCAGCGATCAATGACTTATAGCGGGACTGCAGGACAGCGGCGGGAATTCTTACACTGGGGGGGGGGGGGAACTGATTTGATGTCACTGACATCCCCAATGACACCAATACAGTGATCAGTGTTAAAAAAAAGCACTGACACTGTACTAATGGCACTGGGCATGAAGAGGTTAACATGAGGGGCGATCAAAGGGTTAACTGTGTGCAGGGAGTGTTTTACTAAGGGGCCGTGTCAGTGTGCTTCACTGTAAGAACACTGCTTTGGATGGCTGTGCTGTGCATCTAGAGCAGTGTGCCCCAGCTGACAGGGAGAACTGTTAGTAAACAAAACAGTCTTCCCCGTCGGAGATGCATGGTAATAACCAGGTGCCGGTGGGTGATCACCGGCCGGGACCCAATGATTGACAGCCGCGGCCGCGAATGGCAGTGCGGGTAGGGCGTGCATGCAGCTTGGGCATGTCCCCTACCCGGAAAAAAAATCACGCGTATATATACGTTATTTTGTGCACCTGTGCTGCCCTGTAGCTGTATTTCTGCTATAGGGCAATTGGGAAGCGGTTAAATGTCCTGCCATTGCCCAACTCACCATCACCCTCCGCACCGGCCATTCAGGACCAATCAGTCCCTGTTCACTCCTCGGCTCCCATCATGGCCTCCGCATTGAGCTTCCAAACACACCTGTGGGGGAACATTAGTGATGGTCTTGGGGGTCTCTAGCTTTCCTGAGGATAGTGTCTCAGCACAGGGGGGATCCCTCCAAAGCCCTGTTTCCTCTTCATCCACAGAGCCTCCCTGCTGTCCCGGACCTTTAAGATATCCCTGTGGGCTGGGCAGTCCTCCAATGCCTGGGCACTCCCAGCCGCCGCCTCCTGCTCCCAGCCCGCCGGGGACCCAGGACTCCTGCACGTCTCATGGCCTTTTCTGACCGCAAGCCATCTGGCCGCTCCAGGAGCTCAGCACCAGCAGGGTCCCCCACACTCACCAACTACCGCCAGGACCGCCTGGCCACCGCTGGATAGTCCTCGCCAACCAAGACCACTCTCAGGTTAGTTCAGGGCAGTCAAGTACAAGGCAGTCAGGCACACATAGCTGGTAGGCGTCCAGAGCATCACGCTGCTCACGGCGCCATGTACAGGCCCTTCCCCTGCTACACTGAGGGGCAGTCACGTCCCTCCATAGTTGTTTCTAATACATGTAACACACTGTCCTATTTGTTCTTGCGTCTGCTTAGTAAGATTTGGGATACAAAATATTTTCTTTATTTCATCTTTCACTACCTTCCAACCCCGATGTCCTATGCCATGGAACTGTGCTATAATAAGTGAAGCACTGTGACGTGGGAGTCCTATTTGACCATTTGACCATTTGCGTCTAATGTCAACCCTTTTTGTTGCCAGTATTCTAGATCCTCTTTTAGTTTCTGTATATTGTAGCTCCTTGAGAAGAGAATGTTTCGGTAGCATAGGTGGATCCAAAATGGCCATAGACTTTTGCGAGTTTTGCAAAAATTGTTGCTGTAAGCTGCAGGGGCGACTGACAACTCATGGGGCCCCCAGGCAATAGGGGATTATGGGGCCCCTGTGTCCTTGCCCAAACTCAAAAAAGCCTATGAAAAAGGTACCAGGGGCATCTCATGGGGCCCCCTACTGACCACGGGCCCTCAGGCAGTGCCCGATTTTCCAAATGGTCAATCTGCCCCTGGTAGGGTGGCACATTTGCATTCTATTAAAAAAGAACATATGTGCTGAGAGCGCGCGCCCTGCACGCTCCCAGCACATATGTCTGGTACTCACGGAAATGTCCCGATCTCCTCTTTCGATCGGGACCTGTCCCGATCATGTGACCCCCGTAACGGCGTTTCACGGCGGTCACATGACCTTAAACCCCGCCCCCCCGGCTTCTGAAACCCTTAAAGGGCCGGGAGGCGCCGGCGCGAAGGGGTTAAAAGAGTGGTCCAACATAATTTTCCTCCTTTATAATTGAACGAGTTGAACCCGTGTCAACTACAAACAGTAATATTTTTCCTGCTACTCTTAGAACTATTAAAGGTTCCTGTTATTATTATTATACAGTATTTATATAGCGCCAAAAGGTTTGCTCAGCGCTGTCCATTATAGTGGGGGACAGTACATGAGACAATACAGTAACAAAACAATACACAAGGGGTTCGAGGGCCCTGCTCTTTCAAGCTTACAATCTAGGAGGGAGGGGATAGTGGCACAGGAGGAAGTGGCTGTGGGGGATGGAGTGGTAGGAGAAGTGGAGGAGATCGGCAGTTAGGTGAGGGTGGGGTAGGCTTGCCTGAAGAGATGGGTTTTCAGGGTGCGCCTAAAGGTGAGGAGGGTAGGTGACAGTCTGATAGATTGGGATAGTGAGTTCCAGAGGATAGGGGAAGTACTGGAGAAGTCCTGCGGTCGGGCGTGGGAGCTGGAGACCAGGGAGCTAGAAAGTAGGAGGTCTTGTGAGGAGCGAAGATTACGGGTTGGGTGGTATTTGGGTATCAGGTCGGTGAGGTAGTTTGGGGCAGCGTTATGAATGGCTTTGTATGTCAGTGTTAGTAGTTTGAATTTGATGCGTTGGGTAATCGGGAGCCAATGGAGGGAATGACAGAGGGGGGTGGCAGATGCGGAGCGGTTGGTAAGGTGGATGAGTCTAGCCGCTGAGTTCAGGATAGACTGAAATCGGGGATAGTCTGTGATGAGGTAGGCCGGTGAGGAGGGAATTGCAGTAGTTTAGGCGTGAGATAATGAGGGAGTGAACGAGTTGTTTAGTAGTGTCTGGGGTTATGAACGTTGAGGAGTATGTGAAACAACTGGACATGTGAGGGAGCTTTTACCTTAGGGGCAGCCCTATTGTGGACCTTGGTTCTGCCAACTGATCGGGTACTTGATGGGTGGATTTCTGCACTTTTTCTCCTGTGGTATGGATTTATTCCCTCTAAATTGTGGGCAATCCTTTTTCCAATGACCTTCCTGTCCACATACTTAAACATCTGTCATCTTTGGGTCTCCCACCTCCTCTACCTTTATATCCTCTTCTCTCCCTGTTTCCATTGCTACCTCTTTCTCTAGGATTATAACTATGTTGTAACCCCTGAAAATGTGCTTTGTTGGTAGACTTGGGGACCTCACAACTTTCAGAGGCGTCTTTCTCCATCACTTGATTTTCAAACATACTTGCGTCCATCTCTATCCAGTTTGCAATAAGCTGTTTTATTAACAGTGTAATTTCAGGTCTGAATCCTGCCATCAAGGTTTGGATATGTATAGTACCCATTTCTGCACTAGCGATATCCACCCCAGCTTCTTCCTTCCAAACTTTTCTAAATTTTTTCACATACTCTGTCACTGTATCTTTTGTTCCTTGCTTACAAGCAACAGTAGTTTCTAACGATTTCCTACTTTTCCATATTCGCTCCATCTCGGCTGTCACCTCCTCCCATACCTTTTTCTGAGTGTCTTCCTTCAGCCATACATGAGTGTTCTATTCCAGAGCAGTCCCACTGCATGGACAAGGCAAAATGCCTTGTCTCCTATGTACCCGATTCACACCACTGCATTGCAGTGGTTGTGGGCACAATATTCTTATAAAAAGGACTTCATTCAGTACTTTTTATCAGCGCAGTGCGGTGAGAGGTGCCACGTGACTGACGATCTGCCGAGCTAAGTGCATCACCGCTGTGCTGAGCTGAGCTGGATCACACTGCTTGCCAGCAGCTTGTGTGAATCAGCCCTAACACCCTTCTCCTCCCTCCGTTCTAAGCTGAGCTGGGTGCGAGGATGGAGAGAGAGATCAGTGCAGCAGCTCCAGCTTTCCATTCTGTGAGAACAGAGAGCTGGAGCTGCATGCTCCCCTTTTGTGCTTGTACCCCTTTTTTAATTAAATTAAAGTTGCCTTAACTCGTTGTGAATTTTTCCCATTATGTCTGGGAGTCCAGACATAATGTCCTGTTGCCTTATGTCAGTAAGAGAAGCCTATTAGCTTTATACTGGAATGGGCAGCAGGTACCAGAAAAGTGTCTTAAGTGCTTTATTGAATTCCCTGACATTTCTTTACCAGCCCTTGATAATGAAGTAAAGTCTTTCCACCTTAGTGCTGATTTGTTTTTACTTTTTCTCTTTGTTAGTTGTTCCGCCATGGTGACAGAAGTCCAGCTGATACCTATCCTAACGACAAGTATAAGGAAGATTCTTGGCCTGATGGGGTTTGGACAACTCACGCAGGTATGACCTAAACAGGTTATTTTGTCATGGGTTTTATATGCCATTTTATAAATATTTTATCTACACTATATTTTGGAGTAATGTGTTAAAACTAAAGTTTTTGACCAATTGCCTATTTTAACAACTGTTAAAGTGTTACTAAACCCACAACAGTAATATCGGTCTTTATATGCAGTAAAGCATACTTGTTATACGCACTGTGGAACCTAAGGGGTTAATCCTCTGCATTGTGTAAAAAGGCTGTTTGATCCTGTCTTCTCTGATTCTCCCCTTCTTCCAGTGTCCCCCTCTTATCTTCTGATAAGGCATATTTTGTGGAGACACTCTGCACATGCTCAGTTTGGTGTGTATTGCTAGAGAGGGTTTTTTTTTCTTGGGAGAGTGCATGTGATCATCACAGGGCCAATCAGCATTGTCCAGACAGAGCTTAGGGGTCCTGCATCCTCCTAGAGCAGAAAGAAAACTCCTCCTACAAGCTTTAACCAGGGCTCTGCTGGACACTGATAGAAGTCACAAGACTGCTCTAACTGCTGATGAGAAAAGGTATTTAGCAGTTTATATTTACTAAAACAATTGCATGTCCATGTTCTGTGTACTGTGGGAGACCAGATATAGTGAATGCAGGTCCCTGGGTTTAGTAACACTTTAACCAACAAAAAAACAAACAAATGAACCATGAACACCTACCATCATACCTGCAATTGAAATAAACGTGTGTGTGTATGTGTATATAGACAGCTTTAAGCAATATGCTTAAAGTGAAGCACATACACAGCCAACATAGTGAAATAGCACAGAGTTAACCCTTTGATCGCCCCAGATGTTAGCCCCTTCCTGCCCAGTGCCATTAGTACAGTGTCAGTGCTTTTTAGTAGCACTGATCACTGTATTGGTGTCACTGGGGATGTCAGTGACACAAAGTCAGTTTCCCCACTGTCAGAATGCCCACCGCAGTCCTGTAGTCCCGCTATAAGTCTCTGATCACTGTCATTACTAGCAGAATACATTTTGGCCCAAATCTATGACGAAATTTGATTTTTTTATTTTTTTACTGGACATGTTTAATAGCAAAAAGTCAAAAAAATTTTTTCCTCAAAATTGTTGGTCTTTTTTTGTTTATAGCGCAATAAATAAAAAACACACAGGCGATCAAATACCAGCAAAAGAAAGCTCTATTTGTGGGAAAAAAAGGAAGTAAATTTAATTTGGGAGATGTGTTGCATGACCACGCAATTGTCAGTTAAATTAATGCAGTGCCCTGGATAAGGGTGGCAAAAGCGCACCCATGTGAAAGGGGCATTATATGACAGCCTTTTACTAATTTCCACTTTTCACTTTTGTAAGGTAGGCAACCCAGCTAGGATCCTAAAAGTTATATTTTTTCACACATATCATTATAGGAATTTATACTTCAATTCTTTCCTCATTTTAAACAGATTGACCAAAACAGTGAATATACTGTATGTAAAGTCAAAACTTTTTTTGGGTGCATTCACGTCAGTGAATGTATTTGCACTCCAATTAGACGTGAGAACCCTAGCAGGGGTTCCCACAATTACTGCAAGAGGCAGCCCCATTAAAAGCAATGGGAGACTGTTGACCTAAGTGGCTAACCGTGGCCACTTGCATGCAATTTCACATGCAGCAATCATGTGAGTGACACAGACTGCTTGGGGCCTTAACAAATGCCCTACTGTATTCAAAACATGTTTTGGCTATACATTCACATAAAGCTTTCTATGGAACAAAATAGTGTGGCATCACCACTTTCTTTCTGTAGCTGGAAAGTGTTACAGCAGCTCATCCATGTCATTGTGGTAGTGCTCCACTGAGCAGACATTGGGGGTTATTTATTAAAACTGGAAAGTGCAATATCTGGTGCAGATCTGCATAGGAACCAATCAGCTTCCAGGTTTTATTACCAAAGCTTAACTGAACAAGCTGATGTTAGAAGCTGATTGGCTACCATGCACAACTGTACCAGATTCTCCAGTGCTCCAGTTTTAGTAAATCTAACCCATTGCTTCATAAGGCAAAGAGTAATATGCAAAGTACAGAAACTCACAATAATCATTTTATTCATTCTTTTTTTGGCTAATATATCATCACAAGACATTTTAGTTAAAAGTGTATTTTAGTAAAATATCTTAGTAAAAAGTGTACAACGTCTTTAAGTTTAGCTAAAGTTAAAAACAAAGTCAATCCACTCTTAAGAAATGTTCAGTGTATGAAGTTGCTCACACTAGGTCTTCAATATCACAGACTTGTAATGTTATTATTATTATTATACAGTATTTATATAGCGCCGAAAAATTTGCTCAGCACTGTACATTATAGTGGGGGACAGTACATGAGGCAATACAGTAAGAATACAATACACGAGGGGTTTGAGGGCCCTACTCCTTGGAGCTTACACTTCATTCATGACTTTAGGTAAAACTAATTATTTTTATTTTTTTATAGAGGAATAGCATGGCTTAGCCTAAAAAGTTTTTGATTGCTGATTTTTTTGTTTTCCAAGGAAACATGAGACATGAGAAGTGAAGGAAATATACAGGTTCTTCTGACTGTCTGGTTTCCATGCTAAACCAATGCTTTCAGTGATTTCTAAAGCCTTGAACATAAATATGAGAATATTGGATGAAAAATACCGCTTTTGCAGCGATCATCTGATAATTTGATCATTGGTACACAGCTTTGGAGAGCCGATCACGACAGTTCGTGCGAAAATATCCGACAAGCTCTAAAATTTTCTGATAACGATAAGCAATTTTTGTTTAATAAGTATAGTATTTATCTGTAAAAAATCGAGTGACCAAAACCACACATGCTCAGAATCTAAAGAATACATTACAGTACATTATATCATCGTAGGATGTTGTACTCTGTCTTACGAGAATTTTTGGAACTTCATTTTTGCAAAAAAATCAGACTATCAATCATTCTTTCGATATTCTCATTGTGTGTACTAGGCTTTAGGCATCCGTTTACATCCGCCTACCTCCTAGTCCGAGATTTCATCCTTTTTAATTTTTTCCGGACCTAAATATGATGGAGGTAGCCTGGTGTAAACAGACACAAGTCCATGTACATCTGGCCACCCAAAGAGCATCACAGGTCCGCCACAGTCCACTGTCAAAATGTGAACCAAAACTGAATGGGCACAAAAAAAAATCGGACTATCAATCATTCTTTCGATATTCTCATTGTGTGTACTAGGCTTTAGGCACCTTTAGCATGGGCTTTCCTATCAGGTCTGCCTGTCAGTTTTTCAGGCAGACCTGACTGGAATCTCCATGCAGGTCTACGGGCAAATGGAACTAAAAGGACTTGCATCCGTTTACATCCGCCTACCTCCTATTCCGAGATTTCATCCTTTTTAATTTTTTCCGGACCTAAATATGATGGAGGTAGCCTGGTGTAAACAGACACAAGTCCATGTACATCTGGCCACCCAAAGAGCATCACAGGTCCGCCACAGTACTGTTAAAATGTGAACCAAAACTGAATGGGCACAAAAAAAATCGGACTATCAATCATTCTTTCGATATTCTCATTGTGTGTACTAGGCTTTAGGCACCTTTAGCATGGGCTTTCCTATCAGGTCTGCCTGTCAGTTTTTCAGGCAGACCTGATTGGAATCTCCATGCAGGTCTACGGGCAAATGGAACTAAAAGGACTTGCATCCGTTTACATCCGCCTACCTCCTAGTCCGAGATTTCATCCTTTTTAATTTTTTCCGGACCTAAATATGATGGAGGTAGCCTGGTGTAAACAGACACAAGTCCATGTACATCTGGCCACCCAAAGAGCATCACAGGTCCGCCACAGTCCACTGTCAAAATGTGAACCAAAACTGAATGGGCACAGGTGTCACAAAAGTGACATCCATCATGTTCTACTTCAATTTAGCAGTGATGTGCTCACGGACTTCCTACTGAACGGAGTGAAACACCCACATGTGAAAGAAGCCTAACTCACTGTCCTGTAAGAAGTAAGCAGATTAGGAGTCCTACGTTTACTTGCTGCATGTTTGTTCCAGGACAGTGACTAATAAAACATTCAAGTCCTTGGACCAGGGTAGTCAATTAGGATTTTCAGAATCAGGCCAGCAATGACAGTTTACATGTTTCTCACAGTTCAGGTTCCTTGATTACGTCACCTAAAGATGTGGTGTAGGTTTAATCCACAAAGCTAACACACCAAGGTAAGGTTGTCATGTTATTTTTTTTTTTTTATAAATTACTACAATCCGGCTTTATGGACAGTATTAAAATGTCATAGTGTGACCTTTACCAAGTGATAGCAATAAGTCAACAGAATAAAAACAGCATGGCGTGAAAATAAAAAATAACACACACTGATTTTTTTCATGAAAACTTCTTGTGTATGTCAACAGCTAGGAATGCAAGCAACATTTTGAACTGGGACAATACCTGAAAAAGAGATATGCCGGGTTTCTAAATGAAACGTACAACAGACATGAGGTAAACCTGTTAAACTAACTTTTCTCTCTAAAAGCAACTAGGGTTAAAGCTGAATGGAAGGCACAGACATTGATATACAGTATGATAGAATTGTAAAAGCAATCTCCATTTCTTTTCACACCAGTGTCTAATAGGTGTCTTAATAAGACTACAATTCAACAAGTCCCAGAAAAGACCCACTTTTGGCAATGTAATAGACCTGGTCAGATGCCACCCCCCTTCTCTGCAAAACGCCTGCATATCAAGACACTTGTGCTGAGGGGTGTGGCTGTTATTCAGCTCTGCAAGCACAGGGCCCTGCAGTGTGAGGGCAGGAAGAAGCATTTTTGCTGAGCGTAAAAGCTATTTTTATGCATTTCCAAGCAAAACAACTGTTTTTCAGGAAAAAAAATAATAGTACAAATGTCATTTTGCATAGTGCTGGGTTTAACAGAGCATATTGAATAGTTTCATTGTGCAGGTTGTAACATGCTGAGTATAAATATTATTACTATTATACAGAATTTATATAACACCAACAGTGTGTTCTGTGCTTTACAATATAAAGGCAGACAGTATAGTTACAATACAAATCAATATAGGTGTCACATGACCCTAAAGAGGGAGGGTCATGTGATACAAAAGGAAATATACATGGAGATGAGCTTGTGCAGAAAGCAAAAAGATATTAGTTAGAAGCAGGATAGTCTCTAAAGTGATGGGTTATCAGGAGTGCCTAAAGGTGAATAGAGACGGAGAGAGTAGGAGATAGTTAGACAGATTGGGGTAAGAAGTTCCAAAGGATGGGAGAGGCTCTGGAATCCCTGGAAGTCCTAGAAACGAGCATGGGAGGAGGTGACGAGGGAGCTAGAGAGTAGGAGGTCTTGTGAGGACTGAAGAGAACGGTTTGGTTGGTAGCTTGAGACTAGGTTAGTGATGTAGCTGGGGCACAGATTTGGGTGACTTTGCAAGTTGTTGTTTGTACTCTGAATTTTATTTGTTGGGTGAGCAGAAGCCAGTGGAAGGATCAGCAGAGAGGGGTAACATTTATGGTGGACTGAAGGGGGAATAGTCTATGTAAAGGTAAGCCAATGAGGAGGAAGTTGCAGTAGTCAGTGAGAGATAACCAGGGAGTTAATTAGAAGCATTGTGGCATCATTGGTTAAGAAGGGGTGTGATTTGGAGATGTTGAGGTGGCATGATTTAGATAGCGATTGGATGTGGGGGCCCGAAGGGGCTGATAGTTGTGCCATCAATCTCAACAGAGTCACGGAAAGGGCCAGGTGGGGGAGGAAACATTCTGAGCTGTTTCAATAAATTGAGTTTCAGAAAGTGATGTGACATCCATAATAACCACTTGCTCCCCAGAGGATTCCCCCCCCCCCCCCCCCCCCCCCCCCCCCCAGGCCATTTATTGCTATTTGGCACTGAACTCTTTCTACTGGTAACTGTGTGGTCGTGCAACACTGTACCAAAATGAAATTGATGTCCTTTCTTTTCACTCAAATAGAGCTT